TCCCAGTGTCCCCTAAGGGGCCTGAGAATCCTCTCAAGACCAGGGCCTAAGATCAGGGGGTACTTGGCACACTTGTAACTCTTCTTCAATTCTTTCTACTGCCTGAAAGTCTGAAGTAAAGAATAACCTATTATCCGAGTAGGTCGTTTCCACTCTTGGCCTCAGTTTCCCCAACTGAAAATGAGGTTAAATTAGTGTTTCGAAATCTCTCTTTCGTGAGGTGATGTAAACATCCTAAAACCAACCCAAACCCAACTCTCAGCATAGTGCAAACAGTGTTGTTCTTAAATGTGCTTAAGAACATGTAATAAAATAGAGACATATGTTGTGATTATGTAATAAATTATCTTTGCTGGGCATAGTGAAACATACACCTTTAATCCCATCACTCAGGAGGCTGAGGCAGGGAGATTACTGTGAGTTCAAGGCCAGCCTGAGCTACATAGTGCATTCAAGGCTAGCCTAAAGTACATAGCAAAGTCCTGTCTCAAAAAAAAAAAAAAAAAAAAATTACCTTCAAGGGATAGTAACCCTGGCCTGAGAATGGGAGGTTGAGAATATACTTCATGGGAAGGTAGAGACTATTAACTGATGGTGGAGTTGAATTCCATCATGGATGTGATGATATTGCTCTATGTTAGGTCTTTTATTTTGTAACTATTATGTATCTTTGCTTCATGTTATGCTTTTTACTCTTAATGCGAAAAATAACATGAATTAACTTTGGATCATCCTGTGTAGCATTTAATTCCCCTGTAAGATCATTTTGGGTTGCTTAGTAGAATCTAGTAACCTACTGGTACTATCAAGGCATGATGATGTATAAAAATACTGTTTATTGGGCTGGGGATTTAGCTCAGTGGCTCTGCTGCCTGCCTTGCAAGCGCAAGGTCCTGAGTTCAATCCCCAGTACCAAAAAACAAACAAACAAACAAAAAACCAAAACCCCCCCCAAAGCCCCAAAACAAAAACATAAACAAAAACAAAAAACTGCTGTTTATTTTTAGCTTTCTTAAGAGAGTATTAGAGTCTAGGCTATCTAAAGTCCTTTTTGGACCAGTAAATCCATACAAATATGGATATAATTTAGTGAAAGAAAGAAGGAAAAAGGAGAGGAGGCCCCAATCCAGTGGGATCTTAAAGATGTTCCTGTGTGCTAGTGTATGTATCTGTGCACGCAGTGGTGAGTGAGGAAACACTAGAGTCCAAGGCTCAAAGCCACTTGAACAGATAAGATGGTTCTTGGAGCTGCTCAGGAAACACATTGTTCAACACATTGCCTTCCTGGAACTCTGGCTATGGCCACAAACATGCCCAGGCATTTGTACCAACACACCAGACACACTGAGACACACTGAGACAGTCACAAAAAGACATACACACTCAGAAATACTCACACATACAGAGACACACCCAGGTACAGACATATAATCACTCAGAAGCAGATATACATATACCCACACAGATACTACATGGATAGACAGACACACATACATACAGTCTCTCACACACGTGTACACACACTCCTCAGAAATGCATTCTCCTTTTTAAAAAAGCAGGCATTTCCAGCTTTGATTCTTACTCTCTAGGCACCTTGAAGAGCTTTCCTGACATTCAGTTCTTTCCAGTTGCATCGTGGTACACTGGAGCCCTCTCAGCAGTCTGACCTGCTTGAAGGTCTTTGCATGACAGAATTAACTTTCATTTTCTAGGTGAATTTGAATTTCAAATACTTTGACAGTCTTCTCTGCAACTCCATAGAATTCAAAATTTAGTTGTGTCTATGATCCCCTATGGAGCTGGGCTAAAATTCAGAGTCTTGAGCCACAGCCTCTCTGATCCTATAGGTTTGAAAAGTGGCTCAGGGATCAGCATTATTCAAACCCTCAAGAGGTTCCAATGCAGGAGTTAAAAGGAAAAAATATACCATCAAATTGTCTCAGAAATTTCATTAATGCAACAGAGTATTTACTGAAAGGATCAAGTCATTAAGTATTATAGTAAAAACATACAAGAACCACCCATGTTCTAGGAGTTGCCACTGTTCTTGCTCTCACAAGCAGGGGCGTGGTTTTTCTGCTTTTCTCTCCAGTCCAGATGAAAAAGCAAAATATAACTCACTAATGGGGCCTTGGGGTTCTCGGTTTCCTTGACTTACTAAGATATTGGCCTCAGTGTGGTTGGTTTTTGTTTAGCTTCTCAGAACTTTAAAATTTTTATGGTACTCATAGGAACAAATACATTTCACTTAAAAATTTTTTTAACCTTATATTTTTTATTAGTATGTATTTGTCATACATACTGCTTACATTAATCATAGGGAATTTGTACCCATATGTAATATATCTTGAGTCTTCTTTTTTTTTCTCTATTCCCCTCCCTTCCCTTCAACCCTTCTACATTTCACTTTTTGATCCAGTATACACATATACAAACATGTACATCTATCGAACAACTTTCTCAGCCATACTCTATTATTACATTTTTCATTTCATTCTATTCTGTTCGTCATTTAAAAAATATATGCTGGTCATGATATACTATATTGATTTTATTTTTTTGTGCTGGGGATGGAACTCAGGACCTTGTGCTTGCCAGGCAGGCGTAGCACCACTGAGCTACATATTGGCCCTATACTATATTGACTTAAAGTCCCACTGTTGTAGTCATCTGGTACTGCATAAAAAATCACTTCAAAACTTAGTAGTTTAAAGTAATAGTAATCATTTTATTATCTTTCATGTTTTCTGTGGCACAGTAATTTGAAGGAGGGCTTAGGGATGTTCTGATTTAGTTGTCTCACATGATTATAGTCAGTCAGTAGCTGGGGCTGGAAGAGTGGCAGGTTGGGTCAGCTGTCTCTGTTCACATTGTCTCTCCCTGGCTAGGCGTGGTAGCACACGCTTGTAATCCCAGCTCTTTGGAGGCTGAGGCAGGAGGATCACTGTGAGTTCGAGACCAGCCTGGGCTATGCAGTGAGTTCCAGGTCAGTCTCAACTACATAGTGAGACCCTGTCTCAAAAAACCAAACCAAACAAAACACATAGTCTCTCCCTGTGGTCTCGGCTTCCTGGAAACATGGCAGCCTCAGGGCTATTGAATTGATTTTTATGCCTCAGGACTCCCAAGGTAAGAACTAGGCAAAGGAGAGTTTAGCCTTGAAAGTCACATAGCATCACTCAATAGTCACAATCCCACCCCATTCCAAAGAAAGGAACATAGATTCTACCTTGGATGGAGTGTCACAATCCCATTATGAAGAGCAAGCAGGGTTAATGGGACTGACACAAGCAGTGATTGGAAAATACGGTCAGCCAGCATGGTGCAATTTGAAAAATGTTCCTCTAGAGGGCACTGTTGTCATGAGACATTAAATCCATTTGATGAGAAAGGAGAGAGGAGTGCCTGTTGGGAAGGGAGAAAAAGGAATTTGGATTTTGGGAGAGGTGGAACTGCTCATCTTTTGGAATTGTTCATTCTTTCTGTTGCAGAGATCTTGTGATTTCACTAGTGGGGTATGTGGCCATGTGAATGCCCTCAAGGAAGGGAACCTAGCAAAGAAGGACCAGAGACTGTGAGCAGCTTTCAGGGTTTTAAATCTTTGTGCATTTTCACCAGTTTGCAGCAGAAGATCCTGTGCTTGGGTTAGTTTGATAGCTAGTGCCTGTGGGTTACTAGGCAGAAGTCCAAGCTGCCTTGCGAACCCACACTTTGCAGTAAAGTGTGGCTCTCTCTATACTTTCAGGGCTTAGGCACTAGAAATGATGATTTGGAAGACCATCGAAGATGTGTTAGCAGATGAGAATGTCCAGAGAGAGTGTGTAAAGTCGGAAGAAAAGGGACCTTCAACATTTGAAGAGTTGGCAAAGAAAACTAAGACAGTGTGAGATGCGGGAGGAGAATCCAGTGAGAATGGTGAGAAAGACTAGGACAGTTTCTGGGAACACAGAGTGGGACCGAGAGACCGTTGAATTTGATGATGAGGGCATGGATGACTTTTCTGATGACATTTGCAGGAAGCCAGGTGGACAGGACATTATGGGAGCTTAGTAGGGAGGGGAGGGAGTAAGTGTAACAATCTGAGATGTAAGACTGAGCCTGTGTGTAGGCAGGGAAGAAGAGCCAGAGGGCTAGAAACTGGGCTTAATCAGAATACTTGATATGACCTGGTCTGGGGAAAAAGTGGAGTGTACTGTCCAATGGAGGAGAGAGCCTTGGGAGAGTAAGAAACAATAAGACGGAGAAGAGACTGAGATTAGGGAGGAGGAGAGGCCTGATGGACTAGGTCAAGAGGTCTCTTGTTTCCAGAAAGAACAGTGAGGAAGGCATAGATGCTTGATGAGAGTTTACCAGTCAGACATGAGTAAGAAACATGATCATAATCAACTCAAATATATCCATTACCTGTTCTGTGTTGTGTTTTCACAAAAATTATCTTATCCTCACAACAGTATGAGAAAGTGTGCCTATTTACAGAATAGAATGTGTTCACAAGGGAAAGGGAGGCATGGCCTTTCAGCTCAGCCCTGAAGCTCAGAGCCCAAAGATCCTCAATGAGGCACCTCTCTACAGGAGACGAGAAAGGGCAGCTGTGATCGCTGTTGAGAAATGGCTGATGTGAAGGAAGGTGTCCTTCTGTCCTTTGTCCAAGGTCTAGTCCAAGGGGGGGGGGAGCTGGTGAGATCTGGCTTCAGGGGTGCACATGTAGGGTGGAGGTTCACCAGGGGAGGATGGTACAGTGTGAATAGCATGGCTTTGGCCTTCAGCTTTTACTGACTTTGCACCCTTGAATGAGCCATTTAATACTGAGAGCCTTTGCTTCTTCATTTGTAAAATGTGGTAAATTTTTTTTGTTTGTTTGTTTTTTTGTACCAGGGATTGAACTTGGGACCTTGCACTTGTGAGGCAAGGCGGCAAAACCACTGAGCTAAATCCCTGGCCCCAAATGTGGGTAATTTTACTACTGAACTTGTGTATTTGTGAAGTGCAAATTACCTGGAAATCCTATGCACCCAATGCCTGCTATTATTTCATAATTCTTTCATTTACTATCAGAAAATCAGGAATTCCTGACTCAAGACCAGGACTGTAGGAATATGGTAAGATTTTGGAATATTTGTAACTCATGCAGACCCATTTTAATCATTTTTCTTATATTCTTATTATCCTGTAGCAAATACCAGGCCAATAATTTAAACCAAGTTTCCTGGGTACTTTATTTTAGGGAAGTGATACAAAAAGGTTGCTGAGGAGATTGTGCTTGACCCAGTGCTTGAATTCATGTGGGAAGAGGTGGAGAGGAGAATCCAGAAGTCATAGAGGCTGCAGCAGTGATGGAGAGGAGCTTGCTGCCTAGAGGAGAGGGAACTGTGAGTAGCCAGGAGGGGTCTTGGAGCCCAGCTCAATGGAGTCCCGGATCATGCCAGCCACAGCCAAGTCATACCGAAGGGGAGGCTTCCTCGCTGTGTTCCTGTGACCTGGTCCCTGAACAGATGACCAGATGGCTGGGTCCTGTGCCTGCTTTTCCCTTGTGCTCACCTCATCAGTCAGGAGCACCTTGAGGGCAGGGAGGGGTAACTTGTTCACTGCTCTGTCGAAGCCCCAGTGCTTGTTGCTCAGTGCCTTCTGTGTGGCCAGTTCTCTGTAAAGGGTGAGTCAGTGTGTGCCTGAGTGAATGAGTGACTAATAACTGAATAACAGAATGGGAGGAAGGCAAAAAATCTTGCCTCAGCCTGTTGAGTCCAGTGAAGTGTTGCTCAGGTATCAGCCAGGATCACCAAATTCCTTAAAAACTAAATAAAATTTTGAGCTGGGTGTTATCTTAGTACTCTGGAAGGCTGAGGCAGGAGGATTGCAAGTTTGAGCCCTTCTTGGGCAACATAGTGAAGCCTACCTTAAAATAAAAAATAGAAAAGAACTACAGATACAGCTCAGTGCAAAGGCCCTGGATTCAGTCTCTAGAATCACGAAAACAAAAACCAAAACCCCAAGCCAGCTATCTACCCAAAAGCTCCACCAACAATAAACTAAATAAGATTCCTTTGAGCTATGCTTTGAGAGGCTCCTTAAAATGTCTGTGGATTCTTGTCACTGTGGGCTAGTGGGGGAATGGGAAACAGAAGCCAAGTGTTCTGGTCCCCAACAGCTCTCAGCGTCTGCATGCTCAGTGTAAGGATGGTTTCCATGGGGCTGCCTCATTCGAAGCATGCAGCGCAATCCCTTCCTTGACATCTGCACCTCTGCCCAACAAGGTGATCTGCCTGTTTAGGGGATTTCACTGAGTCCTTGGGGCAGAGGAGAAGTTCACATCATGGCAACACAAGTAACTTCACATGGACTACAGATTTGGAAATTGCCAGGCCCCAACCATGTGGCCAAGTCCTTAAACTCTCTCTTTTTCCCTCCTTCCCTGGCCCTGGGTCTAGAAGGGCTGTTGGGGTCATAGGCAGGTTCTAGCACTGGGACCAATGTGGCAAGAAGCCCAAGAAACAGGAGAAGGACAAACACCTCTGCAAGGTGTGCAGAGAAACATGACGTTTGTCATGAAGGTAGGAGGCAATGAGGCCACTGGCAAGTTAGGGGACAGTTTTTTTTTTCTTTTTAGTACTGGGGCTCAAACCCGGGAACACTTTGCCATTGAGCAAATTTTATTTTGAGTCGGGGTCTCACTAAGTTGTTCAGTTTGGCTTTGAACTTACAATCCTCTTACCTCAGCCTCCCAAGTAGTTGGGATTATGATGTGTGGCACCCTGTCCAGCTGGATAAAAAATTTAAAAAGCTTTATTGAGCTCCAGTTCACATATTATACAGTGCACTCACTTAAAGTGCAGTTCAGAGTTGTGTAACATTGCCATAGTCAAGCCCTGTTGACTTCTAATTTGGGGGGTGGGAGATGGACATTCCTTCCAGAGTTTTAATCAACAGATGAGGCAATTACAAAAAGCATCCAAGAGCTTTTGTGTGACTCCTGACTACTTTGTAATTATTAAGCATTTATGATGTTGGTACTTAAAGGGCACATCTAGAATATTGAATCCCAGTCTACAGAGGACTAAGGGATGATTTCTTTTTTAAAAATTTTAATTTTTACTAGTATATGTTTGCAGTATATAAAGATTACAGTCATTATGGGGAGTTGGTACATGTCCTTAAGACATCTTAATTCTTTTCATGCCCCCTCTCCATCTCTTGGTCTAAGGATAATTTCAAAGAAAATTGTACTAACTCTGTGCTTGACAACAGATCCAGACTACTTGCTATAATGTTGCAGAGGCTACTGCACCAAGATGTGCAAACTCCATTTGGACCAAACTCAGACCCTGAATCAGATTTTATAGCATCAAAAGACTCATTAAAGATTGGAGAGCAAAAAGATGAATCAGACACTTTGCAGAGTTAGGAAAACCATAGTGGTAAGAAGGACAAAAACTGTAAAATCTCACTTATATTTGGAACTTAGTGTTAAGAGGTGGGGCCTTTGGGAAGTTACTAAGTCATGAGGCCTCTGACCTCCAGGAAGAAGAACCTGTACATACTGAGGCCAAATATCCAAAATTCCCACTGAGGACAACAAAAAAGAAGCCAGATGGCCAGATTCTGGGGATACTATAGTGGGAGAACCAGGTCACTGTTCTATAAGACTGTGGACAACAACTCAATGGCTTCAGTTTGGAGAGAATATCTTATAGAGATTCTAAGAAGGTCAATGTAATCCTTTACTCCTGTGTGAAATTTGAATGATGGGCCGCCACAGTTTTGTTTTTGTTTTTTTTTTGGTACCGGGGACCTCGGTACTCAGGACCTTGGGCTTGCGAGGCAGGCAGTGGAACCACTGAGCTAAATCCCTGGCCCCAGGCCTCCAGAGTTTTACACAGTGTGCAGTGACTCTGCATTTACAGCTGTCCACAAAGATGATTCGGATTTAACTAACTGAACTTACGGGGGAGGACTCTGAGCTTCCTAGCACTTTCAGCACCCAAGCTTTGTTCAGTTCTGTTTCATGCCGTGTCAAGATTACTGCTGTGATTTGAGTCTTAAAATCAGAAGCTGGGTCTCCAGTACAGCGGTATCCAGAGGTGGGGCTTCTGGAAGGGGAGGGTCTGATGCCATGAATAGATTAATCCTAATCCTTTTATGGTTTCGTGGCTTAGTGGGCTGGGGTAGGGGTTTTGTTATAAAAGTGAGTCCTCTCCTCCCTCCGTCTCTCCCACCCCTTCCCTTCACAGCTGCTATAAAGGTGAGCAGCTTTGCTGCACCTCATGCTACCCACTGAGATGTTCTGCCTTACCGCACAGCCAGAAACAACACAGCAAAGTGACTGTGGATTGAAACCACAAGCCAAAATCTTCCTTCCTTTAAACTGATTTTTCTCAGGTATTTTGTGATGAAAGAAAGCTGACAACCAATTACCTATATATTGTGGCAGGTCATTTATCAGGTATCTAGTGAAAGGAAGGCATTCTAGAATTCTGCAAAAGTTGAAAATGCTACCATCCAGAGAAGGTCTGAATAAGACAAAACACATAGAAGCTGCAGAAATACAGCAGACCAGTGGCAATCAGTAACAAGGATAGGCTTACAGCACTGAAAATGCTAACACATTTTGGGACTATGGTGGAAGTGTTTCACTCTGAAGAGTTCCAGAAAAATAATCCAGGAACCCCAAATAAACATCCGAGCTCCAGGTCTCCTTCTATGGTTGTCTCCTTTAATCCTTTGGCAGACAGATGCAGCTTGATGAACAAGTGTTCTGTAACCTTAAATAATTTGTATCAGTAACTCCAGCATATGTCACAAGCATGTATGGAGGTGGAAAGGCAGTGGGTATTTCCAGCCCTTCCCCATTTTAGAAAACAGCTTAGTAGATTTAACAGAAGAATTTGAAGACTATAAAGCAGAATGGTTTTATTGATTGCTGACTATAGACCTGATGGATTTTAAAAGTAACTGATATTTAATAACGTATAACCCACTTTTTAATTCTTAATTTGGCGATACTTCTCCTGGGAATATTATGTATTAGTGTATTTTTAGTGCATTTTTAATTAATTAAATTTGGAGCAGTTAGTGTTCCCAGGATTAGAAATGTATTCATTAATAAAGCTGAGTCTTGAACATGGGAAAAGAGAGGTTATATGATGTCCTTGGATATTGTTTAGATGAGGCATTTGATGATGTGTTTAGTATCTATTAAACCCTTTCCTCTTTGGTAACTGTACCTCACCACCCTATCTCCTTTGTGGGACTGACCAACCCCCATTCTGTGTTGTTTTGGAAGAAAAAGTATTCTGGTCAAAGGAATGGAACAGCTTAGGTTTGGCCAATCAGGATACTCCATCAGTTTGGCTACAATGCTTGGTCTAGAGATGGGCATGTGATCTAAACATGACTCATTAGAATCTGTTCTTGGATTTTACGTGTAGATACTGTTTCTTGCGGCACAGAAGAAACCATCTGTAGAAACTAAGAAGGAGACTGATACACAGAGAGAAGGAGATTGAGAGAAGCGGTGAGAGAGCCATATATAACTGGGGATCTTTGGAGCCAGTCATATTCAAGACCAGCTTCAACCCTGCCACAAGAGCTAATAAATCTTATTTCTCACTAAAATTAATACAAACTAAGTTGAATATGTCACTTGTAATTTAAAGATCTTTTGATTAATCCATTGTCTTCTGTTCCAACTTTAACAGTCTTCTCCAACCTGATTCTTCTCCAGGTTCTTACTGTGGATGGCTCTAATGATTTTGTTCTTAGGCAGTGTACTCACACAGCATTAATAGAATAACCACAAGCACAAGAATAGCTAACTTCTTATCAAAGTTTTATCAGAAGTTCTGTGCTAAGTGAATTATAAGCTCCTCACGACACTATTATTCCTCATGACTTTGGTAGTTCCAATTCCCCACTTTTAATTGGAAGGCACTAAGTTTGGGAGGACTTAAGAAATTCGCCATGGTTCTACCACCAGTAAGTGGTGGAGAGAAGTTTTAAACCTAGGCTACCTAACTCTCTGAAACCTACCTGTGCTGTAATTTTATATCACCTCCTTCCTTGACTTGGTTTCCTAAGAATAGCCCAGCAAAGAAGGTCAGAGAGAACCCCCAAATATTATTAACCTACCAGGTAGGCAGCCCGATTTTGAGTTAGTGAGTAATGCTGAGGGGCCTTTGGGCTAGGATTACAAAGTGAACCCTTTCAACAACACAACACAAAAGATAGGAATTAGTGTTTCATTTACAGATTGAGAAATTGAAACTCAGAGTGGTTAAGTTGCTCATGGCTCCCCTGCACCTAGTGTTGGAGTTGAAAAAGCTTCCAGAAATGTGTGACTTCAGACCCAAAGGGGGCTGACAAAAAAATGTGATGTGGGAAGGGACGTAGAAATCAAAGTCTTTAGGTGGATGGCATGCAAGGCTTGTTTCAGTGAAGAATGTCTTTTTTGTTTAATCAGTTATTCATTCTAGAGAGGGAGCTTCAGTCTACTTTTCCTTTTATTGGAGCAGTCAGCTGGCAGATCAGGCGGTGGGGCAATGTGTGCTTTATCACGAGTTTAGTCTTCCTGATTCATGGGGTGAAATTTGTCTTTCTTATTGCTTCTCAGAGGAGGATGAACTCATTGGTGGTGACAAGAGCAGCCCTCTGTCCTTCCTTCTCATCGCCAATGCTGGAAGAAGTGGGATGTGAGTTCTCAAATGTCACAGAAGCCTACAAAATGCTGACTCCGGATGCCACACATAACTGGGGCTGGCTCAGAATGGGGAGACAGGGCAACACCGTCATCTGCTAAGAATTCATTGTTCTGCAGCTTTCCCTGAACACAATGGTAAGACTGAGATAGGAGGAATAGATGTGGGGTGGGGTGGGAGCAGCAAGTTGGGTTGTCTTTGCAAACAGTTTTTTTGGAGGTGGGGAAAGGAGCAGTGTAGGATTAGTTAAGAGGCAGACCTTTGTGGGTTTAGGGCACCAAGAAGCAGGGACACAAAATACCAGTAAAGAAAGCAAAACAAAACAAATACCCAAACAAAGGGAAGTGGAACTTATTTGTTTGGAAAGACTTTGATATTCACTGTTTAAAAAGAAGCATTGAAGTTATCATGGAAAAATCCAGAATTTTGCTTAGTGGTTTGTATTTTGAATCACAAATGCATGACCTTTGCAGGGTCAAGGTGCTATTTGGATTAGGAGCTCTACTGGGCTGAATGGTGCCTTGCTCTGTGTGGGTAGAAAGTCAGCAGATGGCCTGATGGGTATGCTTTGAGCAGCTTTGAGCAGACCCTTGACCCTTTCCACAACCACAGGAAGGAAGAGCTCCTGAGAGCTGGATGTTGAGGTGGAATTGGAAGTTATTTTATTTACTTCTTTCTATGTTTTCCAAATTTTCTTTTATGTGTATGTATGTATATTTTATTGATGCAAAATTAATTACATAATTAATACATTGTTGAATTCTTTTTATGCAAAATTACTATTTTATGGCAATAATAAATTATATTCCCTTTGGCTGGGGATTTGGCTCAGCTGTTCTGCTGCCTTCCTTGCAAGCACAAGGGCCCAAGTTCGATCCCTGGTACTACCAAAAACAAAAAAATTTTTCTAAGCATTAATGTGCATATGTATATACACACATGAGAATAATTGTTTTGTGTGAGTGATTTTTTTTAAAAGACATGACTAAATGACATTAGACCATTCATTTCTTTTTGCAACTTGTATTTTTCTTCCTCAACATGTCCTATTGGATGTTATGATACTGGGTTCTGTTTTTTTTTTTAAAACTACAGCATTATACTCTATAGTGTGGCCTTACTATCTATACATATAATATTTATAACAATA